CCGGCAGCCATTATTATGCTAAATTAACCTGGGAGCTCCAGGCCGCCACTCAAGATGGAGGAAAGCCTGACAACAGATAAGAGCTAGTTTACCAACACACACACACACACAGAGTTGAGAATGGACTCCTCACCCCCACATTTCCCACTGCCCTCACAGTGTTGAGCTCAGGGTGTGGATTGGTCAGCAGCATGGCCTTCATTACCATTAGACGCAATTTTCTGCCACAAAGATTAGCAATGGCCCCTCCCCCAACACATGCATTCGCCCACACACACACACTGCCCACCACCCCCACATTATACACACACTCGCTCCAGCTGCCTCCCCCCTCTTTCCACACGCCCAAACTCTTTTCCAGTGGCCGGTGCATGCACACACACCTCCCCCAGTGTTGACCCCACTTGCTGCTTTGGCCCTCCCTCTTCCTTGGGATAAAAGGCTCCGAGAGGAAAGAGAGAGATGGGCCACGGACTACGGAAGAAGGAGAGAGAAATGGGGGGCCATCCTGACACATTCCTCAGACCGATCGAGTTTCCACCTTCACAATGAAACCGCTGCTGATACTCTCATACGCAAACACCCTGAGCTCTTCTTGCCTAGGAAGGCTCTGACTGACTGGAAGAAACCAGGGGAAAGAGTAGCCACCGATTCAGAAAAACAGCTGTTTAAATGTGTATTTCTTAGGGAAGGTGAAAAAGGGGATGTGAAAACTGAGAGAGGAAGGGTGTGAAAAGGCAGGGATAAGACTACAGAGTAAACAAAGTGAACTGAAGGTGATATCGGCAATCGCTGATAGGTGCTGGAAGTCACTCATCTATAACCTTGTACAGGAAGTTTAAACAGGACCTCACTCTTCCTCCAGAATTAAATGTGTGATACTGAATGTTAAAAACTGGCAGTTTAATTTTTATTAATAACATTAATAAAAATGTTATTCGTGTTGTTCTTTAGAGACTTTCAACTATAAACCAAAAACTCCTCTTTGTTTAAAAACGAAGCCTGACTGTTTTAATATGTAGCGGTAAATGCAACTGATCCTCAGATGTGCCTGTTAGCAGGCCTTTGATCACTAACTCACACTTGTACAGTGTGCAGCGGCTCTCTGCTCAGGAGTTGTGACCCTTTTGGTTCCCCGTGCTTGCCCATGATGGGCCTAGAGGTGTCTGTGTGTATCAGCACATACTATTTTTGTGCATCTACACTCAAGACAGCTTCAGCATTTGACATTAAAATCGAGATATCTCCAGCATGCTGAACTTCAGCACTTGAAGTGTTACCCACATGACCCGAGACTGCCCGAGCTACCCTCCTCAGATTGATCCGTTTCTGTTTTCATGTGGAACTGAAATCTTCACAGTTCCACTTAGTGGTTAATGGTGCCAAATGCACCGTTGGGACGCTCTGGACATGAGCTCTTTACAGCTGATGAGAAATAAGCCCTTTCACCTGTTAGCTGACACTTTAATCTGGTTTACTACAGTGACTTCCCACTCAACACCAACTATGACACACACAGTGACCGTAATAGTGCATTAGTCCTACCTGGTTTTCTTGGGAGTCTTGGGCTTGGGTGTGGAGCTCTTGGCCTTCTTCTCCTTGGGCTCTTTGGGGGTCTTGGGTGTTTTGGGCGTCTTCGGGGTCTTGGGCTCTTTGGGCTCCTTGCCCTCAGTCTTCTCCTTTGGTTTCTTTTTCCGCTTTTTCTTCTCTTCCACCGGTGGTGAACTTCCCTCTACAAGTTCTGTGCCAGTAATGTGTTCACCACCATCACTTCCTGTTCCTGGAAATTCAGACTTTACGTCTTCCTCTCCTCCTCCTCCCGCTTTCTTCCCTGTACCTTCTTCCTCTCCATCCACTACTTTTGCCTTCTTCTTCTTCTTCTTCTTTTTTGGCTTGGTCTCCTGGTCGTTGGGCTTCTCTGTGCTGATAGGCTGACCGGGGGCACCGGCACCAACTGTTGGCCTGTCAGGAACCGCCATCAAAACATCACCTGACGGGTCCGTGGGGGAATGCTAACAGAGGAAGGAGAAAGACATGCAAGTTACTCGTCAATTGAAAATTAGAGGCACTGACAGAATAATACATATATTTACTATAACAAATTCCACAGAAACTGAACATAGCATT